GTGCTTGGGTGGCTCAGTCAGTTAAGGTCTGCCTTCAACTCCGGTTATGATTCCACAGTCATGGAATCAAGTCCCACACTGAGTCCCACATCCGGCTCCCTGCAGGGAGTCTGCTTCTCCCTCTCCCTCTGCCCCTTCCACCACTCGTTCTCTCCCTCTCTCAAATAAAATCTTTTAAAAAATGCAAATGGATCATATCAGAATCCCCTTATTTGTCAACTCATAATTTAAACAGTTACATTTTCCAGAATGAGAAGAGGGGCTTATATAAAAAGGTTGCAAATTTTTATGAAAATCTAGAAGAAAATCAGTATCTCATTGAATAAGGAAGTCCCAAAGAAATATTTATTGTATCATGTCACAAAACTGTTCTTTAAAGCCTTCTCTGCACCACTCTAGGAAATTTCCTTTTTCCATGTCGATCATAAATTTCATAGTCCACTTAATCTAAGCAATGAAGTTTAAGACAATTCAGATGTTTTAAACTTAGTGGTTTAAGCCATTCTCCTATACATGAGGCACAATGAAGCATTAAGACAAAAATAACAATTCACAAAATTTCAAAACAGTATCTACTCTCATAAAGAAGTGCTACTTTGTAGATCTGAAACAGACTTTTACCATTTCAGATGTCATTAGATAATTTCAAATACAACTCATTTATTCAAATATGACTCTTTAACAATTCTCCTCACTGTGTTTTGCTAGCCTTCACTTCAAAAGCAGTGTCCTCTGAGTAATTATAATCAATTACTAAATACAGCATAGAGTTAAATCACTTACGAATTAATTCAGTTATATAACTGTTCTTTACAATAAGCCAAATTTTGTATTTTCGTTACCAGCAATGATCAGTATTTACACTGGAGGACACGTTTATGGTTATAATAGTGCACATCCTCGAGGAGGTACCAGGAGAGTTCCACCATCGACCAAATTTACTAGGGATTATTTACCAGGGAGTTGCACAAAGACAAACAAAAATTAAATAGATTACAGAGAGTAACATTCATGTTGACCTTCAAAAATATGTCACTAAGTACTCTTCCTAAATAAAACTCTTTTCAGTACTTACCACACTATGTTTTAACTCACACAAGTGGAAATCTGAGTAAATTAACCTATTTGTCATTAAAATTTTACTTTAAAATATAGGGCTCTCTTAATGGTTGTAAACAGCTATGAGAGAAATTGAGAGGCTAAAATCAAGTTCATTCTCTTGTATCAAATTTTAATTACTTCAAACTTGGAGATTTGCTACCACAGCAGAGACGGTTCTATTTGCTTTTCAGCTAAAGCACTGTGTGAGATCAATATTACCTCATTTACAAACTGAGAAACAGAGCTTAGTTATCATCTCATGAAATATTATATAATATGTGACGATGTTAGCCAAATCCTTAATGATTCAGTTAGTAGGTTACTTATGCTCTGTAGTTTTTTCTATCAAAGCTCCCAACAAGCTGCTTTCAGCCGGTTAAAGAACTGTCATCATCCCCCCGGGGCAGTGGATTAAGGACTGCACCAGTCACGCCACCTGCTCTCTGCTGGTAGCTCTGGCTCAGCTCACGAAGTTCCCTGAAATTCTTAGAGGACTTGGGGTCCAAGTTTCAGGAAACAAGTCAAGCGTAACATCTGGTAATCCTGAAAGAAAAAGCTATAAAATCCCAGGAAAACACTATCTGTACACCCAATTCTCACTTCACCGTACCTTAGAAACACACCAAGTAGAGCTACCTTCCAAGCAGTGAATTCACCTGAGCGGCACATCTGCCTCTGTTCTCCTTCCGGAGGGCAGAGAGGCCTCCAGGATTCCATCACCATCAGAGCCATTACCCAAGACCGTGGGACTCTGGGTAGCAGATTTTTGCCACTATTTTTCTCTACATTTACAGGCATAAATAAAAGCCTGAATGGTCCTTTTTTGGCGGGGGGACCTCAAGAATCTCTAGCAACAGTTATCTAAAAAGGATTTTAAATTGAGGGTTAAAATTGGCCTAGAAATATCAATTAACTGAATACTTTTCCCATAAAAGTATACCTAGCATAATAGAGAAACATCAAAAAACATACATGTCAAAATTATATGTACATATACTTTATAGAGATATAAATACTATATAGAGATAAATCTATATATACAGAAAGAGGCATTAGTCACCTAAGTCTTGGCTATTTCTAGGATATATTCTAAACTTCCTCTTCAGAAGGTACATGATAAAACCAATATGTAGATATATAATGTCAATAGCAAAAACGAATATGAAATAAAAACAGCTATTATTATCTAGATATGTTTTCTTAGGTGGACCCTCTAAAATACAGTGCTATTCAGAACTCCTTTAAAAAGTCATTAAATCTCTGAATCACAACTGTTATATTTATATTAACTCATTCATTCATACTACGTGACCTGCATTTCCAACACTATCCTTAAGTACCCAAATATCGAAAGATGAAATGAATTCCAAATTCACCATAACTATACCGTTACAGTGAGAGCAGAAAATTGGCATTTATACTTTTGTGCAATATTGTGTCAATTAACTGTCTTCTGGTGAAAATAATCATGAGCTGTAAGTATCACAGAGTGGCTGAAAATATTTTCTTAGCATAAAACACAGACAAGACTAGCAAATAACAGAGTCTTTAAAAACAGTTTTACACCATGACTTTTAGCCATTATCTTTAAAGGCCTGATTCTAATTTCATACCTCCATTGCTTGAAAGCAAAGAGATTTCTTTGCTCAAAATTTATACCATTTTTCCTCTTCCGATGTGAACATATTTAAGCTCCCATAGGAACAAGTTTAAGTTTCTTGATCTCTAAATGTGGTTAAGTCAAGCACTATTAGACCCACCAGCCTCTGACAGTTAGGACAGGGCTCAGGTAACTACATGGCTGACTCCTGAAGTAACTGCTTCTGAATTTATTGTACTCAAATAACATTGTTTTTGTCTTTTAGAGATTTTAGAAAACTACGATTTTATAGAATGAATCACAAACTGCTCTGCTAAGTGAAATGTAAATAAAAACTAATATTCAGCAATGGAGATTAAAGATTTTAATATTTTTTATTTAAAATCAAAAGCAAAATTGGATATTTTACATTAAATTTACTATCCTAATATATCCTTGAAAGTTCACTTGTCCTTTGATTTCTCAAAAAAAGGGCCTATTTTGTTACTATAACCATAAATTCTACTATTATAACCCATATACTACTTTTTTATACATTCACTATTAATAAGATAGTCTAATGGGGCACCTAGATGATTCAGTCAGTTAAGCGTTAAGACTCTTGGTCTGGTCTCAGGTCATGATCTCAGGGTTGTGAGCATGCGTTCCATGCTCTCAGTAGGGAGTCTACTTAAGATTCTCTCCCTCTCGCTCTGGCCCCCCCATGCATGCTCACCTGCCTGTGCTCTCTCTCAAATAAAATAAATAAGATTTTAAAGAAATTTTTTCAAATAGAGAAAAGTTATGATGAAGTATTTTGCCAAAGATTTTATTAAACAATTTTTTTAATTTTATTTATTTATTTGACAGAGATCACAAGCAGGCAGAGAGGCAGGCAGAGAGAGGGAGAAGCAGGCCCCCTGCTGAGCAGAGAGCCCCATGTGGGGCTCAATCCCAAGACCCTGGGATCATGACCTAAGCTGAAGGCAGAGGCTTTAAGTCACTGAGCCACCCAGGCGCCCCTTTATTAAACAATTTATCCATGCTTACTATTTTTTTTCTAGTACATTGACCTGTTCACCTGAAAAATAAACATCCATGCATACAATACAGTACATTAAGCTATAAAAATAGGTGGTTCATTTTGCTAATTGACATGTCAAATTAAAAATGAAATATTCACAATTACCATGTGTGAAACAAGTTCATACATTACAGGCAGCAAACAGACAATAAATTAAATGTTGGTAAATGTTGGTAAAAAGTAAAATAACACAAACAAGATCCCAACGCTAAGAAGTTCAGAGCTAGGATCTGAATTCAAGACTGCTATTGCCTTGGACATAAAAGATATGCAACAAACAGTGGTTGAATCATTTCTTGAAAGGCTCCTAAATCTACCTTCTAAACTCTTAAAAGGAAACTGTTGTGGCCTTTGAGAAAAGAAAGTTTGTTTGTACACCATAAATGTAATTTTAGTCCCTCGAGTGTTATTTCCGAGAAGGAAGCCAAATTCTGCAAATATATTTGGTAACTTCTCATAAAGGCAAAATTGAGCTGAACTTAAAATATAACTGGTCCTAACTATAAATATAAACCAAAAGAAAAACATATTAATTTGCTGATTGTATTTTTCTGAAAGAATGACTCAGCTTTAACCATAACAAAATCTCACCCAATACAATCAAAGATTAACATTTGATTAAAGCTATGATTCAAATGCAAAAGTAGTCTTTGTTTTACATTAAATAGATACTTCACTGTAACACGTGTATACTAGATATAAACATTACTATTTTACCCCATAATCTCAAGTGAATCAACTGAGTAAGAAACTCCATGACCTTTCTATTTCTAAAAACCTATTAACCTAACTTCATCTCTTCAATGCTCACAGTAAACTTGTAATTATGGAAAGAAAAGTTTCTTTACTTTGCAAGTGGAATAACTGAAATCACAGGGAAAACACTTTGCCAAGGGTGATTCATGAAGTCAGTCTCAGAGGGCAGCCTGATACGATATCAAACTCCTCAACCCAGGGGAAAGAAATCCGTATTAGCGCACTGTACCGTCCAGCCTCCGAACTCACAAGAGCAAACCGACCTCCCCGGAGAGGAGGGAATGAAAGAAAGAAGAAGGGACAGAAGGACGGACGGGGACACAAGTTTAACACATAGAAGGAGGGTCTGAGTTGCAGATAAGGCTCGGAGTTCCTGCCTAATCTGGACGCAGCAGGGCCTTCGGAACTGGGCAAATACTGTGTGGAACAGTGAGATCACCCCAAGTTCTCCTCTCGCAGCGGAAAGGGCAAGACCTACTCATGGGGGCCACTTGTGACGGACACGTTTTCCAGTTTAAGTGCATGACCCGAACCTGTGTCACCCGAGAACGCCTAACTGGAGTGTTCAACGCAGGTGGAAAAGCATCCGCTCCACGCCCCAGTCCCGCATTCTTACCGCCGCGAAAACAAGGAAGGTCAAGGTCAGGGGACTGAAGGGCAGCAGGCCGAGCCCAGGCTGAGGAGACCGACGGCAACAAAACGCGAACTTCAACACGAGGAACCCGCACAGGCGGCGTCAGGCCGGGCCACCGCACTGCACGCGGGCGGAGGGTCAGACCCCCAGCGCCCCTGGCACCACCTCCTGCCCCTGGGCTCGGTTTGTTCCGTTTGCCCAGAGGGCTGAGCCGAGTCACCCGCACAAGAAAACCCGGTTCAAGCCCGCGCACCAGCAGCTCCTTCCCCGCCACCCCGCACGCTCCCCGTCTCCCCCATGCCCGCTGCGGCGCCGGGCCCGCTCGGGAGGCCGGCCGGGCCCCTCTCCTGTCCGCGTCGGTCGTGAGGACTCGAACACGCTCCGGCACGGCTCAAGGAGGCCCTCGGTCCCGCGGCGGGGGCACCTCGGCCGCGCGCGCTCGCAGCAGGGCTGGGAGGCGCCGGCCCGACGCCGGGTTTTCCGGCCGGGCTGCGGGCTCGTGCGGGGGAAGAGACACGGCCGGCGGGGAAGGGGCGATCCGCGAGTCCGGACCTCCCCACCCCGCACACTCCCTGCCGTCCGCGCCTCCTTCATCGCCGCGCACGCGCTCGGTGTCGCCGCCGGAGGTCGGCGCGGCGGTGTCCCCGCGCTCGGAAGCCAGCGGGACACCCACAACCAGAACTTTCTCTCGCGCGCGGACGCGGCGTCTGCCCGCAGCAGCGGGCCCGGAGGGGACGCACGCAGGGCTCCGGGGGACGGCGCTGCGGTCCACCGACCTGCACACCGCGGGCGCACGGAGTGCCCGAAAGTAGAGCGAGTCCCGCCGGGAACACTGCGGGGACGCTGGAGGAGCACCGCGCGGGCGTCCCGCACGCTAAGCGCGCCCGCAAGTCCCACAGCCGCGTCGTCCCTGCTCCACCCGCACCGCGTCCGGCTTCCTGCGCGGGACCCGCCACGTCGTCCACGCGCTCCGGGACAGCCGGCCCCGAGCCCCCTCCCCGCACACGGGAACCGGCACCGGCCTCTGGGACCACAGGCACCCCCGGCCGCCCCGGGTTCTGCTCCCGGCGCCGAGGCGGCCCGCGGGGAGTGGACCCGGCGGGGAGTGGACACGGCGGTGAGCCCGGCGGCTGACCGAGAGCCCGGGTCCCCTCGCCCCGCCGCGCCCCTGACTCGGCGTCCCCACGGGGAACCGCTGGACCCACGCAGCGGGGGCTCTCGGCGCGGGCGCCGCCCCAGACTGGGCCCCCGGCCCCGGCTTTGAGGACCCCCGAGGCGGCCGAGGAGCGCCGCCCTCCCCGCCCCCACGCCCACTCCGCCCGGCGCCAACAAAGGGGGGTCGCGCCGCGCCAAGTTTCGCTCCAGGGTCGTGTCGCTGGGACCCGGCGACGACTTGGGGGTCACTCCCGTCGCGCCCGCGCCCCCTCGGCGGCGCCGGTTCCCCGCTCCCCGCCCCTCCCCCCCGGCCGGACACGCGCCCCAAGTTACCACAAAGGGCCGGGGAGGGGGTCCCGGAGCCGCGCGCCGGCCCGTCCCGCCTTCGCCGGGCTCCGCGTTCTCCAGCCAGCCGCGGCACCGCCGTCAACAGGTCTTCGCCGCCTCCGGGCGGGAGGACGACCCCGCGCTCGCGCCGCCCTTCCCCTGCAACCTGCCCGCCGGCGCCCCGCGCCCCCCTGCCCGGCGCCCTTCCCGCGCGCCCCAGCCGGAGTGGGCTCCCGCCGGCCGAGGCCCGGCACCGCGCGGCCGCTCCTTACCTCCCGCGCCGCCGCAGTCGGCCGCGCTGCTCGTCCTCCGGGCCCGCCGGCTCCGCCCCCGCACGGAAAGTTGCAGGACGTCGGCGCGGACTCCGCACCCCCGGCCGCTGCCCGCCCGCCCCCCGCGCAGCCCGCCCCGCTGCCTCCCGCGCGGCCGGAGCGCTCACTGGCGCGGCGGGGCTGCCTGCGCGGGCCTCGGGCGGGGCCGGCGGGACGCGGGGCGCCCCCTGTCGGCCGGCGGGAGTGCTGGTGGCAGCGCGGGATCCCCGCCAGCGGGACCGGCTGCGGGTGCTGACAGCCTTCCGCGTGCGGGCGGGTGCGGGCGGAGGGGCCGAGGGGCCGAGGGGGACGCGGGAGAACCGGCCCGGAGAGCGGAAGCCTTTCCCGACCGGCGCCGGGACGGAAGCGAAACCACGCCCCCCCCACGCCTCTCCCCCCACCTTCCCTGGACACCACCCCCCCCCGCCCCAGCGAGGCTGCGCCCTCCCGGTGCGCTCCGGTCCCGCCCCGCCGTGAGACACGCGACCCGCCGCCACCGGCACATGCCCATCGGAGCCCAGAACTGCGCGCGGGGCGTGTGGGAGACACGGCCAGCGGCCTCCCCGCGCGGGCGGACCGGGAAGGCGCGACCCTAAAGCGCGGGGGCCTCGACGTGTGTCCGAGACGGCCGGGACGGAGGCTGCGAGGGTTCTGTTCGGGGCTGAGCATAGACGGTCAAGGCACAGCGCCTTGTGAGGCCGGCGGAGCGGAAGGCCGCCGTGCGGTGCGGGGCCTGCAGTCGGACAAACAGATCCTCCCAGACCCCGACGCCCCGCTCCGCGCCCGCGACGCCCCGCAGGATCACAGCTGCCGAAGGCGCTCGTGCGGTCAGACGGACAGAGGCGCGGCCGCAGCGGCGGGAGCAGAGCAGGGTCAGCGCAGAGAAGGCGCCCGGTTCTTCCCACCGCACTTCACCGTCCGGAGAACAAGGCGGTACCGGGACCCCCTCCCACTTGCTGGCTGAAGCAGTTTTCTTCCCGCGGACGCCTTTCCCGCCGGAGAAGACGCGGCCTGCGGTTTCCGGAGCAGACGCTAACCTGAGCGAGCGGACGCTAACCTGAGGGAACACGCGGCCCTGGTCGACTCTCACGGTAAATGCGACGTGACCGCAGTCCTGGACCCCAGCGGACCCACCTCAGACCCCGTGAGTGAGGAGAGCCGGAGCCACTACCGGACTGAGGCTTCTTTGGACGTGGTCAGGGCGGCCCGTCCGGTCTTCCCGGTTACCGCAACGGCCCGGCGCGCGGTGAGATCATTGAGTAACAACAGTCCGAGGACCGTGTTAACTGCTTTTTCTGTAAATAACCTTAAGTCGACTTCAGTTATTCCTGAGGAGCGGTCAGCAAGCGATGCGCGCCGTGGACAGTGACGACCGGGGCAGTCCGTCCGCGCCGGGCCGCGAGGCGGCGGCTTCCCTCACGGTGTCACTCACGTCCGCGCTCTGCTCGCGCCGCGGGGCTCTGCGCTCTGACCGAGAACCCCGGGTCCCCGAGAACGTCGCAGACCCCCGGAGCGTGCGGCCCGCGTCGTGAGGAGCGCGAGACCCGCGTCGACCTGTCGCAGCTCAGCGGGACGGGTGCGGGCCGCGTGCGGGCCGCGAGACCGATCGGGCTTCGGAGATCACGCGCCGTCCGCGCTTCCCCACGAGGTAAGAAGAATTCCCGCAACCGGCGCTTCTTGCTCGCCTGCTTCCGGCCTTGCAGAGCGGTTCTTCCGGGCGCTTCCTCCGTCGACGCCGAGACCCGCGCGCCCTCCACGCGCCCCCAGGTTCTCCGAGGTAAGACTGTTCTCCCTCCGAGCGGGATGCGCTGCGCTCGCTTCCTCCTCCGTTAACCACTGAAGTCGTTTCTGGAGGACGTCGGACGGCCGCGTCTGTGCGCCTTTCCACGGGGCTTGAAGCTGCGCGAAAAGAAACGCTAGATGCCGTGACGCGCGTCCGTCATGGCCGACGAAGGGGGCCTGAATCCCCTCCGCGCTCCTCCCGTCGCGGCACGCGGTGCTGAACGTGGCTCGTTTTTATATTTTCTCCCCGTGTTGAAATTCGCCGAACTGGCTACGGCTGTGTCGTTCGTAACCGGACGTGACACGAGCTGTTCCATGAGGCGGCTCGGAGGTGCAGACACGCAAGGACGCCGAGAACCAAGTTGTCAGAAACGCTGCAACCGGACAGGACGAGGCGCGCGGCCAGGTCGGCTACGGAAGAGCGAGCCACGGAGGCTTCGCAGGCCCGGCGGGCGCGGGCGCTAGGGGCGCCTAACCCCACCGCCGGAAGTACTCGGATTTCTAGGTGAAAACCACATTCATCACTGTGTGTAGAGATTCGGCTCCTTTAAAATATTTTCTAGATTAATTTTCTGGCTCAAGCCAGTTTGAAGTTTCTCTTACTCGAACTGAAAGAACCTTGACAAGGAAAAAAAAACTACATGGTTTTTTTAATGGTGAGAATAACAATTTCACTGTTGATTATTATGAAAATCCACAAAAACAGGGTGCCTGGGTGACACCGTCGTTAAGCACCCAAGTCTTGGTTTTTGCTCAGGTCGTGATCTCAGGTTCCTAAGGTGGAGTCTGCTTCAGATTCTCTTCCCCTCCCCCTGCATAACCCCCATTCGTGCCCTTCTCTCTAAGATAAATAAGTAAATCTTTTTTATACACAGAGACATGCTGGGTTTTTAGCTCTGTATTACCACAAACCCGTATTTTAGAGCATTAGACAAAATGTTTTTTAAAGAAAGGAAAAAGCAAGATGTAATTCAAAATCTCAGTTGTGTGAATTGAAATTGAAAAGGGAGCATATTTCTTTTTATTATGTGAAACAGTGGCCAAATCTTATTCACTGAGTTCCTAGGGGATCTGGGTTCCAAAATTAATGTGTTACATTACTTTTGCATCATCCTTTTATGTCTTATTCTGATTAAGAATATGAAACTCATTGCAAAAAAAATAAAAAATAAAACAAAACAAAACAAAAAAACCTGTGAATAAGGCCAGTACAAAAAAGAAATAAATACCACCTGCATTTTTACCACCAGGAGTGCCCATTGCTAACCTTTACACTGTATCCTCCAAGGATTATTGAGGACCCTGAGAGACTCTCCAATAAATAACATCCCTTCTCAACGTCTGGGCTGGGAAGAAATTGAGAAATAAAACAAAAATTCAAAATGGAAGCTAAAATATTGCCTGTATTATTGACAGAGGCTTGGTTTGAGTTGGTAGATCTAAAAATGAACAATCAAAATAGTAGTTTCAGTCACATTGTTCCTGGTCTCCCTACTTAGGAGATATTTTTGAAAAAGGAGTTGTTTCTGAGATCTATGAGAGAGAGAGAAAAAAAGATAGATTAAAAGAGAGATATGGAGGCAAAGGCAGAAAGAGAGAGAGAGAGAGACAGAGAGATAAGGGTGTATCTAAAACCAGCACACCCAGAAATTCCTTCCAAGTTCATTCCTAAATGTATTTATCAAATACCTTGCAACACCACTCCAAGAGCAAATGAGTAAAGACCCAGAAAAAAATATTTTAGCAAAGAAATCAAGAGCTGAGAAAAGGCGTTACTCAGTCTCTATAGCCACTTCTTTCTTTTTCTCACAGGAAAGTAAATGGTACATATTTACTACTTAGTAATAATTTAATAATATATCATAGTCTTACCCCCCCACCTGTGTTTATTAGTATATTTTTTGCCATTATAAGCAAACTGTGGCCAACTGGACATATATTTATGTTAGACCCGGGTTAGGAATCTTTGGGTAAAACACAGAAGTGTAATACTATATTCTCTTTTTATTCTGTCATATTGCATTTCATTTTGACGTATCCCATTAGGGATCGTCTTCTCTTAAGGTGATGGTCCCTGTCAGGCCTCTCCTCTGTAACCTTCATCTCTTTCCCTTTGTAATTAGCAGGTATTTTCTGAAGAGGTACTTTGAAACTATGTAAATATTTCATTCCTCATCAAGCTTTCAGTTCATTCATTTACTTATATTAGTATAGATTATAGTTTGCTATTTTATTCAAATGATTATGATCTATTATTTTCATGATTTATTTTGAGATTCAGATTGTATCAGATTTGGCTAAAGTGAGTCCTTTCGAGCTGACGTCTGTGTCCCATGGCCCTGTCTCCAGCATCCAGGAGCACTTCCTCACTATAGGACACAAAAAGGTATTAAGGTCTCACTTCGCGTGTTCCTGGCCCCAGCTCTGGAAGGAGCCTCTGCTCTGAAGAAGCCCGCCCCTTTCCCTGAGGATGGTATTTACAGTCTGACCTCCAGGCGCTGTGTCATTGCCATTGGGCTTTTTGCTTTCCTGAGTCCTTTTCAGTCGCCAAAACCTGGGAATACGTGTGTGCATTTACAGATTTTATTCCCTCTCCCGCTGTATCTTTCATTTTGAAAATCTTGAGCTCGTACCTCTAATTCCAAATTTCGTATTTGTAAGTCCCTTCTCCTCCAGTGAAAATCTAGTTCTACTCCCATTATCCTAATGTATTTTCTTATTTAGCCAGTGTCCTTGTCTGTAACGGATTTCCTATGGCTGTCACCGTCCCTCCCCTGTGTGGCCGGGCCACGTCTCCGCAGGAATATCTTTACCATCTTGCTCGGGGCAACGATTCAGGACAGACTCGCATCGGCACACGCCCAGGGCTGCAGCACATGGCCAGGCTGCCTTCTGTGTGACTCCTGCGTCTCTCTTGGGCTCCAACTGGTTAACACGAGGCTGTTCCTCCACGAGGCCACCCTTTTCACCACACTTGGGCTTCCTGAGCCTGCTGGGGCCACTGCAGTCCCCCCATCCCAGTCCCAGTGCAGATGTTTACCCCACTTGGCCACTCGTAACAGATGAAATTTGCATTGCCCAACTAATTCTGGAAGGTTAACGGGCATGCACACTCTTAGGAGCGGTGTGTGAGGGAGTACCACTTCTCCTCTGTGCAGCACTCAGGTTTTCTTTCTCACCTGTGTTACCTGGTTAGTGAGGGAGCGGGTATAGATGGCTGCGTGAGGCGTGCTTCTCCGTGTCCTGGACAACGTCCAGCAAGAGCCCACAGTCCCCTCTCGATTTTGTTTCATGATGTGCTTTTATCTCCATTTTCTCCATTCGCAAACCCAATACCAGCATTCATTCTAATGTATCTTAAAGTGGACCTTTGAAAATTTTATATGTATTCTTACAAAATTCTTAATGTTTATGCTTTTTAATGTACGCAAGTGTTGCTGTGTAAACTACTCCACCTTGGTTGTTACTTTTTTCTCCAAACACCTTTAAGTTTTCAACTTAAGTTTCAACTTAAAGTTCACCTTTAAGTTGTCAACACCTTTAAGTGAAAATTTAGCTCAATTATTCTTTGAATTCTTGTTTTATTGTTTAACTTTCATATCAATAAAGCTGAATATGTTTCCATACAGTTAGTAAGCATCTGTATTTTCTTTTACAAACTGGCTATTTGAATATTTTATTCATTTTTCTCTTTTTCCAATGGATTTATTTTCTTTTTCTTACAGGTTTTTAAGCATTCTTTATTATATGTATTAATCTCTAGCAAAAAGTAAGGTGTTTCCTTAAACTTAATTTAAATAATTAAATCAGGGGC